CTATGTATTGACAAGCCGTTAATAAGATCAAATGCTTAAAATTTCTAAATATAAAAATCTATTAAAAAATGGAGCAAAGTATACTCACTTCACGGTAAGGTAACTACCTGCATTATCTAGTGTTTTCAACTTTGTTTTTCTTTACTTTTATACTAAGTTTTTGTCATTAGAAATTAGGATTCTAGCTTATTCTGTCCAAATTGCTAGTACTAGTGGCGCCAATAGCTACACGCTCCACTCTCTGATTTTAATACTAATAAATTCATTCCGAGCTAGGGCGTAAATTTGGCATGCACTCGACTCTCCTGGGCCTAAAAACTTTGAAATTTCTTTGTTTTACTATTTTTTTGTTCTTTCCTTCAATTAACTACAAAATAATCAAGTCTTTATAATCGAAAACAAAGCGTGACATACTTAAATACTATAATTTAAGTAAGTATACATTTATTATATAAATTTGTCATAAAAACCTTTTATCTACTAGAGTAATAAAATATTTTATGAGGTTATTCTTAGCGAATAATAAAATTATATGAATAAGGTAGAAAGCAAAGTATAATATAGGGGGGCTACGCCCTGTCATTGGGGAATCCTTTATTAGGACCCAGAAGAGATAATAAAGTAATTTATATTGGAGGTTCATAAGAGTAGGACGAATTTGAAGTTTTTGGTTTGTGTTATTGTGTTACAGCGTTCTAATAAGGAGAAACATTTTTGTTCCAGGTAGGTAGGTACCCATTCCTTTGTTCGTATCAAAATCTATACGGAAATTCCTTCACTACATTTCTGTAATAAAGTGCAGTAATTTTTCGCGAAGTGCACCACCCGAATATAATTCTAGGGTCCTTTCCGACTCGAACGGACTAATTTTACGGCACTCGGCCTTACATATCATGCAGACCGCAAATTACTTACGGGTTTCTCATCCAATTTAAGCAAAAATACGCCATATTTCCTTCAGCCCTCTCGTGTAACGACATTACTGACGATTACGACCAGTGGTCGGTCCTGCTAATGAGAAGTCATCTCGTTATTATATGCCATTGAGAGACTGGAGTTTATTAAAGGATTTTCTGGGACGTGTACGTGTTGCATATGGGATTATTATGGAGAAAACTACGGTCATTTTTGGGGTTTTCATTAATTTTGTTGTGCGATTGGTTTATTTAAGAATGTCAGAAACCAAATGAAATATCATTTATATTAAATAGTTTAGTAGGTTTAAGAACGTATTTCAATAATTAGATAGAAACGTACAAATGAAATATTACAAAGAGAAAAATAATCTGGACAAATTTGAACCCTATTTTTTTAGTGTTTTTTTTTTATAACAGCTTCATTTTTCGTGGTCTATTATTTTCATTGATTTTGACTTCTAAAACCACGTTATTTTGATATTAATTTTTCTTTGAAGTAATTAATCTGAGTATTTTTCTATTACTACTCGTTTAGAGATGAGAACATTGTTGTAAGCCTGACGTTACCTCACCCGATTAGATGTTTCGTTTTTTTTAAACTTTTAATTATTACGTCTGCATGCCACTAAAATAAATACACTATAAATATATATAGTTTATTTATCTTTATTTTAGTAATTTGAGATATATTTTCACCTTAGTTCATATTCCCAACCCTATTGTAAATCAAAATAGTTTTATGTCCGATGAACAAATAGAGTGCTATTTATGGAACAGTATTAATTGCGTCAATAAATTAGCACTTTATTTTACTGTAAAATAAAGTGATACCTTATTTTACTAGTACTGACAACCTGCCAAGGTGAAACAGGTATACTCGAATTTCAATTTTTTTAATTTTTAATAAAAACCAGTCACAATCGTACATAAAATCATGTATATAACGCTTTCGTAAACAGGCTTTATTGAGTCATTATTTAATAGCCTCGCTCGCGAGCTTGCTCGGCCATAAAATTATTCGTACAATAAAGTCTTACTTTATTTACTTGTTATATAAATAGCTATTACCTTTAATAAAACTCCTGGTTATTATGTTACCTTTTCGGCTATTTTTATGTAAATGTTAAAGAGAGAATATATCGCAAAATACTAAAATAAAGATAGACAAACTATATATGACTGTACAGGGTTTTTTTTTAATGTTTTTACACCCCACCCATAGCCTTTACCCTTACAGGAAGAAGAGAGATGTAAATACAAAAGTTGTACAGTTTTGGCTACATTTTTAGTTTCCATGGTTAGAAACAAAAATTGAATGTCAGAAATGTGAAATGTTGCATGCTTTCAGCTTTTTTCAAATGAAATGCGTTATATTTGGTTCTATGTTATTGAAGAGAGATTCAGGCATCGTATATATCTAGTAAGGAAAACTTGGAAGCAGATAAGAGATCTCGAATTTTACTACGACAGAGTTCGAATTAAACAAAGGTTCATATTTAAAGATTACTAACGCCCTTGGCCACCCGGAAATCGATTTGTTTGCTTCCTATATAAACAACAAATGCCAGAGATATAATTCAAGGTTTCCTGATCCAAATTGTTTTGCAGTAGATGCCTTTACAGTGTCCTGGAACAACTTCTTCTTTTATGCATTTCCTCCCTTTTGTCTAATTTTGAGAGTACTTAATAAAATTATCTCTGACAAGGCCTTAGGAATTGTGGTAGTTCCTAGATGGGTTTCCCAACCTTGGTATCCAATATGGAAAAAAAATTTGATTAAGGAGCCCATACTCCTACTGCCTAAGGCTAATCCCATTCTGTTTCATTTCAGATTAACAAATCTACACAAAATTGCCCTGGAGGCAGGATTGTTATGTGGCAAGCGTTGCTAAAGAAGGGAAACCCAGAGGAAGCTGTAGGTACATACTATTCTTAACTCGCTAGCGGATTCAATCCACCAGCAGTACGAGACTGCTTATAGAGAGTGGTGGGAATTCTGCAGTAGGACGAAAATTGACTTGTTTGAAGTTACAGAAGAAGATGTTCTGCGTTTCTTCTCTTACTTGCAAAAGCAAGGAAAATTAAATTATGGTTCATTTAATTCCTTACGCTCAGCTTTATCATTAATTTTTTAATTTGAAGTAGGAAGCCGCCATAATATCAGACTTTTTCTGAAAGGCATTTTTAGAGCAAAGTTCCCCCAAGAGTAGATACAATTCAGTCTGGGAGACTAACTTGGCTTTTAACTTCCTAGATACAAGAATTAATTAGGACCTGTCCTTACTAGAACTTTCAAAGAAAACCGCGACTTTAGTAGCATTAATATGCGCTTATAGGCTACAGACATTAGCTATATTAAAAGTCGAAAATATAGTTGTATCTCAGGATGGCATTCAGATACTAGTGCCTGATCATATAATGACTACTAGACGTGGAAAGGAAAACCCATATCTACATCTTCCATTTTTCTTGGACAGGCCAAATATTTGCCCAGCATCCTGCCTGGAAGCGTATATTAACAAGACCGCAAGCCTTAGATCATCATCACAAGAATTTCTCTTCATTACAACGAATCCCTCATCAAACATCTTCCACGCGACAATTGCGGTGGATAAAATCCACGTTGGCAGAAGCAGGAGTTGACACAAATACATTTGGGCCACACTCCGTAAGACATGCTGCTACATCTGCAGCATATAAAAATGGAATCACCCTAGAAAATATCAGAAGGATTGCTGGATGGTCTGCAGAATCAAAGACCTTCGCAAATTTTTACCAATTGCCAATTGCAGACAATCCTAAAAGATTTGCAAAAGCACTTCTGAAAGAAGCAAACTGATAGATGGAAGCTATCTTTGCTTTTAATATATTATAAGAAGAATATTTTGGTTTATATTTTTATGAAAATAAAAATTATTATATCTTCAAACTGGAGAAAAAAGTTTAGTCTTCCAACGGCTACCCAGTTTCTAAGTGATATCATAGGACAGGCCAACGTCTTGAAATTATTAGAATAATTAAACGAACACTTATTACCTGTGAAGTTCTATCTAAATTTCAATAGTTGGCCTGTCCGTGGATATCACTTTCCCCCCCCCCCCCCACCCTTCCCACCATTTTTTCTCCGGATTTAAATCTCTATTAGACTATCCACGATGCTGTCAAACTTAAATTAAAATGTCCACCAAAAGGCACACAAACCCTTTGTTTGCTTGTCAAAGTCACATGTTTTGGATAGGCTAATAATCAGGATTTGGCGGCGGTTGTAAAAGAGAGTTTAGCGACTTCTTTCAAACTCGTGATGACAGATCGCCAGAGCGATACTACCCAGTTTCTAAGTGATATCTACGGACAGGCCAATTATTGAAATTTAGATAGAACTTCACAGGTAAGTTCGTTCTGAAAATTATAATTGTATACCTATGTTGTAAATGTTATTACTTTGTGAATATAGAACAAAAAAAAAAATAATACACTTATATTTTTTATTTTATTTTTTGGCTAGATTATTATTCTGGCCTTGTTGAAGTTTTCACTTCCGTCGTGTGGTCTTCACGCACACACTGTTTTTTTTTTCCACGATATTTGCTTTTTTATCAGTACTGAGTCTTATCTAAATATTTGGCTCATTGAGATTCTGGGAGACCCAGACAATCCTTAAGAATTCTGCATTATTCTTTTCAAATTTCTAGTGTGCTGTTTGCGAATTTGCATCAACCACTTCTTAGTATATGTCAACTTTTCGCGCAGATATGTTACTCATTAGTTTAACTTTTTGAAATTTTTAAATATATTATCACAATCACATCAAGTTCACAATAGAAATTGAATCTAATAATAGTCTGAATGTTTTGGAGCCAAGCAGCAACAAAAATAACTACCATCCAGGTGGAAGTTTAATGATAAAAAATTTCAGACACTTAAAAAAACATTTCCATCTTTCTGTGTTAAAATTTAATTGGGGCGCATAGTAGGTACAATGGAGTAAAACTTTAAATAGTTCTTACAAAATACCCCAAAAATTATTTTCATCATATGACTTAGTTTCAAAGTTTCATCTAAATAAATTCTATATGTACTTACTGTCAAGCCATTTGGAGTCGTATTTCAAAGTTCTCTTGAAGCTGTATTCTTTCTTGCCTGTTGTTAAATTATGCAAGTCCGTTCGAAAAATTACGGTGTCAGCCTTTGTGAATTCGGCATTGGTACCTGAAAATTTAATGGCTACTAAAGTTACCCAATAAAAATATATTCACAAAATTTAGTACAGCTAATTGAAAATTATTCAGTTCTAAATATAAATTTCCAGGTTTCTGACCAATTAAATATTTCTGAAATATTATTCTCCGTTCTGTCACAGAAATATATATATTTTTTTAAATTGAGAAGTAACAATTAATTAACGTCACGTACAGCCATATAAAATGAACTCTCGTCCTGGGTTAATTTTCAAATGCACATAAATAAAGGTATTCTGCCATATAATTCTATTAGAAAAAAATTATATGGAACTACAAAAAAAACATGACTGCGAAGCCCTAGTCTTTGTTGTTTTTTTTTTTTATAGAAAAAAGAAGTTTCAGAAAGCTGATTTCGATTTATCCGCATACTAGTTATTTTCTGTTTGGTTGATTTGCAATAAAACATTTACAGGAGTTAATTTGTACAAACCTGAATATAGCCCAGGCAAATCTCCAGGATTTCCATTTTCAACCCAAACGGCTGTAGAGTTATCTGTAGGATCGTAGGGACATTTGGCTATACCCATTCCGATTCCATGGACGAAGATATTGCGACTTAGATGAGTTAAATTTGCCTGAAAATAAATAAATAAAGTGGTACATGAATTAATTAAATTCCTTCTGAAATAAAATACTATCAAATGACAAAAATTATAAAGATTGGCACGGGAGAAAGAACAACGATCTGACTCTCGGAGTTTGTATCTATACTATACTATACTATACTATACTATACTATACTATAATTATTTCAGTTGCAGCCTCACTTTCTGGCAGAAGGTAATAAACTATGATAGAAACAGACCTAAAATAGCCAATTTCCAATCTTCGATCCCGTTTTGAAAGGTTAAAAATAAGTTTAAAAAACAATTTCTAATTTATATTAATCTTTAGCTTTGTCACGGATTTTTTTTTAGGATGACAATATAACTCCGATTTCCTTCATATATTCCTCAAATATGAACCATTATCCGTTTCAATATTTCTAGGTATATGGATTATTTTTGCATGGAAACACGGGTAATGCTGACGTGAATATTTAATATCGCATGAAGCCTTAAACGAAATAGTCTTATCGCGTTCGCGATAAGCTATTAGCAGATTGCATTTATGAGATGTGTTCTGAAGCTTTTATCTATATGACGACACAGTAATAATTTCCATTATTCATTATATATTATAGGCGCTATAAAAATTAGATCTATTGGGTTCGGATGCGTAAAATATTGATTTCTGTTATATATTGCAAAAATGGATAACTGTGAGGTATGAAACCCCATATAAAGAAAATACCTTTGGCGAATAAATGAAAAAGTGTATTAGATATTTAATACTCATGAAAATAGAGGTTTCAATAACCATTTATGGTATTGACTCTATTATTTTTAATATTTGGTGAGTCTGACCACTTGTTGTCACCGCGATATAAAAGTAAGGGACGTTTTCCTGTAACTGTTTTGTTTGCGAATGCATTTGACTTTTCACTGAAACTAACTTCACAAACAATAACAACGTTTATTGAATGAATTATCTCTATAAAAAATATGGCCTATTAAAACCCTGCGGCCGGGGCGCCAGGTCTCTGAGACCCGACGCTCAGAAAACCAATCGGCAAAATTCGGAAATTTGTTGTAGCCGTCCATCGATGCAATTACCTATTCATCTTTTGTCTCAGTACATGCATGGTAGCCAATGAGTTTGTGCGCATTCGCGTTTGCGCATAATTTTGAAAAAAGTCTGTTAGACCCGGCGCCCCGGCTAACGTGAGTAATATTTCCAGGTAAGTTTGGATAATTTAGCTGTTATTTAATATTATTTCATTGTAGAATTATAATATGATAATAAATAAAACTCAATTTTTCTATAAAAATTATAATTTATAATTTTTAGAAGATGAATTAATTATGAGCAAGAGCAGAAGAAGCTTCGTCAGTTATTATGGGAAGAAATTGATACAGAGGAATAAGATGCCGATGACGAGCAAGACAGAGAAGACAAGAAATTGCTGGGATACATGAGGTCTATCAAAATGAACCAATATTGAATTGGTACCCAAACAAAGATGTTTCTTTTACAAAAAGGAATATTTTTGTAAAAAATGTAAAAAAATCGTGTCTGACTCACCTTCAAGCTTGGTGTTCTCAATGTTCGGAAGTTGCGCTAAACCAATAAAATCTCTTCTTTTATGTTCGTTTTTATTGTATACTACTCAAAACGAAATAAGGACCACTTTTAAGAGCAGGGTTTTCATTAAATTTTGTATAACCCTGGTAAAGTGACTATTTCCATTTACAATAAGTATAGATAAACAAATAAAGTGTGCACAAAAAATTTATATTGTGAATGGAAATAAACACTTTACCAGGGTTATTCAAAATTCATTAAAAATAGATGGGTTTTCAAAAGTGGTCCTTATTTCGTTTTGACTAGTTTATTTTGTTAGAAAATGAAGTTTGTTTGTATATATATTTTTTTTGCCAGTTTAGAAGTGTGTTTTATTTTTTGAAAAAAAATTCTTTTCATTTTTTTTTTTTATTATCTGTATTCAAGACAAGTTTTCAATATAATTTTTTTCATAAAAAACGGTTGTTTTTTCTATTAAGATAAATACTTGGCCAAATTTTTGCAAAAAAACACGTTTTTTGTTAACGGGTCTCTGAGACCCGGCGCCCCTGTTCATGTCTTACTTCAAGGCGCCCCGTCGGCAGGGTCAAGAACCGTAGGTACACAACAAATCACATTTTATATATTTATACATTATTTATAGACGACACTGTTTTCGGGACTTCTCTAGGAAGAATTGACCTACTCGAATACAATAGAAGTCTCTGAATAGTCGCGCTCTAGATATGAACAACTTGATTCTTAGAACCTGACAGGGTTGTCGATGCATTCTCGTAACAATAATGATTTATTGAATTTATATAGAAATTAGGTAAAAGCTGGAGATTATTCTACATTTAAAAACAATGTTGAGGCTCAGTTGAATCTTGCAGTGTGCAATAATTTTTAAATTGATTAGTTCCAGGAGTACTAAAAACCCAATTTTCGATTTCTCTGGCTTGCAACACAAGACTCTTTGATATCATCAGTATCTGTGGGCTTTTTGATAGCTAATTAACCGCATTCTGGACCCACAATTTCTCCCATATTGACTACAAGCCCAATCAGCAGTAGCCGGTCGCTCTTTTGAACCAACGCTTATCCGTATGTTAGAAATTTTCTACGAATTACGATTTAGTCCGGGGGCCGAGGACCTTTTTTCCAAATCATTAATAACAAGCTAGTTTTTTCAATGCAGCTTCATTTCACCGAGACGCCCAACTTTTTTCTCTTCGAAAATTGCGAAAACAGGTAGTAGGTAACATACTGCGCAGGTGTAAAACATGTCGATTTGGTGACTATGAAAATTTAATTAATAACAGTTAGTTTTTCAGCTAAATGTTGAGATAATTTTATGAATAATTTGAAACAACATTTGTCCGACAAAATAAAGGGTTTGGTCTACGATGACCCCCCCTCAAACATGTAGCAATTACGTTGCATAAAAAATTATTAATAACAAGTTGATTTTTTCAATGTAGGTTGGTAAATATTATTAAAATTAAATGGTCACACTGTCCTACAAATAAACAGGTAGCTATTTTCAGTCCTACACTCAAAAGTTGTCGATTTCACGATTTAACTTTTTTCATTAATAACCGGCTAAATATTCGTGAGTATCTTCATTTTGATAAGACGCCCAAATTTTCTGTTGCGAAAATTCCAAAAACAGGTAGCTAACTGAGTGCGCAGGTGGAAATCATGTCTATTTGGTGATCATACAAATGTAAATAATAACAGTTAATTTTGTAGCTGAATGTTGAGATAGTTTCATAAATAATATGAAACAACATTTGTCCGACAAAATAAATGGTTTGATCTAGGCTGTCTCCCTTCTCAAACATGTAGCAGATACGTTACATAAAAAATGATTTATAACCAGTTGATTTTTCTAATGTAGCTTAGTAAATATTACTACAATTAAATGGTTACACTGTCCTACAAATAAAGAGGTACATTTCTCCAGTCCTATACTCAAAAGTTGTCGACTTCACGGTAATACTTTATTCATCAATCACCGGCTAAATCTTCTCGAGCATCGTATTATCAATATAATACGCCTAACTTTTCTATTGCGAAAAGTTGCAAAAGTAGTAGCTACTAGAGTGAGCATTAGTGAGCACATGTAAAATACCTTGATTAGGTGATTATGCAAATGTAATTATTAACAGTTAACAGTTAATTTTTCAGGTAAATAATGAGATAATTTTATAAATAATTCGAAATTCGATTTGAGCCACAAAATAAATGGTTTGGTCTGCAGTGTCCTCTTTCTCAAAAATGTAGCAATTACTGGCTCATAAAAAAACGATTTATAACCAGCTGATTTTTTTACTGTAGTTTGGTAAATATAACTACAATTGAATGGTCACATTGTCCTAAAGAGGTAAGATTTCTCAGCCCTACATTCGAGAATTTCGAAAATAGCCTTATGCATATTATACGTAAATATGTACAGGGCTTTCATTTCAAAACTTGCCACTCACGTTATCTGGGTAAATAGACAGATTTCTAGAAATCGCCGAAACATGTCAACAAATTTATTAAGGGGGTGCGTTAATTTGTTGACGTGTTCCGGCGATTTCCAGAAATCTGTCTCTTTAGGCAGATAACGTGGGTGGCAAATTTCGAAATGAAAGCCCCTGTATGTATGTACGTATACAGATGCGTGTATAACAGTATATGTGTTATGTGTATGTACACATACCTACATTTATGTCGATGGTTTCCATTCGCATCGACGCGCATGCTCGTAAATGACACAGTATCGTAGATGATGGATGATTCAAAAAGCGCGCCAGATTTGAATTGCTCGAAAAAGAGTTTTGGCATGCCATCAAAGTAGAGGGGGCCATGCCCTTTGTCATTTTCCATACCCAGATGGAGAAGGTTTGATCCAACCGGTTCATCTTAATTCTAAAGATATTTTAAAAAAATAGAACTCCTTTTTTTAATGTATTAAATCTGGCGCGCTTTTTTGCTGTATATAGGTTGAATACAGGGTGTTTTCTAAGTTAGAGTTTTTCTTTTTAAATAACGTGGAACTTAAAAAAATACAGGAGTTTTCCAAATATAATTTTCTCGACAGCTCAAAAATAAAAGAGATAGGTATGTTCATTTCAAATAATATCAAAAATCAAATATTTTAATAATTATATTTTTCAAAATACAAAAGGTAAAATTCTTGAATTTAATCTTTTTTTCCAGAAATCTGTCTCTTTACGCAGATAACGTGGGTGGTAAGTTTTCAAATGAAAGCCCTGTACATTTTTACGTATAATATGCATAAGGCTATTTTCGAAGTTCTCGAATGTAGGGCTGAGAAATCTTACCTCTTTAGGACAATGTGACCATTCAATTGTAGTTATATTTACCAAACTACAGTAAAAAAATCAACTGGTTATAAATCGTTTTTTATGAGCCAGTAATTGCTACATTTTTGAGAAAGGGGACACTGCAGACAATACCATTT